GAAGTGAGGAACCATCTGTAACATCTATTCAGTGTTATTGGAAAGGCTCTAATTTATCAAAATGCGTAAATATTGATGTAGACTTGGCTAGATTGTTAAAGAAACCTCTTCATCCACTACAGGAAAATAAATCAGTACTTTTATATTCTTAGGATTTGTATATATATTTTTTATTTGTAAATAAATTGTTTTTTACTTAATTTTTCTCATTTTTTATTAAATGATTAATAAATAAAATTTTCACAGATTTTTATATTTTTGTTTGTAAACAATAATTGAAGAGTTTTTATTAAAAATCACCAATGTTAATAATAATAATTTAAGTCAATATTATTCTTTCTCCTTTTTTAAAGCTACTATCAATAAAGGTATTACTTTAGCTTGACCTATGATCAATTTTTAAATTTTGTGATATATTTGTTTCAACAGAAAAAAAATTATAACCCTTTGACATTGGTTGTTTTTACTTAGATTTTCATAAAAAATAAACGGAACTGCAAACATGTTTTACTATCGTAATAACGAATAGCAACATTAAATTTTTTTTTCACATTTATCACTGTTGTCATTTTCATAAAGGATTGATAAGAAGGTACACTTTCTGGTTTTTTGAAAAAGGTAGCAAGAATTGTGATATTTTTAAATTTATCACCAGTGATACCACATGTAGTTACCCGATTTATTGGAATATATAGACTTTGCTACCACATTCAACTGAACTTGGTTGTTTTTAATATTTATCACTGTGACATAGGCGTTTTTGTCAAAATGTTTCATTTTAAACTGCTGTAAATAGGTGCCTTTGTTTTGGTAGTTTTAGTCCCAAAAAAATCTATGCATATACAGGTACTCATTCCTCTTTGATTTGTTCGAAAAGTTAAAATTTTATAAAAAAATTACATTGGCTGTTTAAAAACTCATTATAATCCCTGAAATGTGATAATTAGGTAAATTAAATTAAAAAAACAAACAAACAAAATTTATTAAATTAATATTAACTCTTACAAAATAGGTTCTTGTAAGTTAACAAGCAATTATGCAGATATTACTAAGTAAATGTGCTTAAAATTCACACACGAATGTGGTTTTAACTTGTTAAATTAACTAACCCTTCTTATAACTCTTTCCACATGTATTCTTAGAGATGCTATTCTTTTACTTAATTGTACATCTTCTGGAGAACTTTTTTCATTCTGTGATACACTAGGTGTGGCTTTACTAAAGTGCATCCCATGTTTTCAAGTAGCTAAATATTCTGAAACCCCTATCTGCCATTATATGGGATCCAGGAACCAGTTTGTTTAAATACCCACATTTTTCTATTATTTCTTTATCACTAGTTCTTCCACAAAATGATGAATAAATTCGGTATCTTCAAAACTTTCAGGAGATTCTGCATTTTCTTCCAGGGGTTTTTAGGTTATACACCTAAGAATTTATAGTAGCCTCATTTTCAATTTCCTGAAGGGGACAATTAGCAGAAATTGCTGCTACATCTTGATAATCCGGTGTATTTTTATTAAAAAGTTTACGGAGAAACATCGCTAGTAGAAGGTTGATTTTCTTCTTTCCAAATTTCTAGGAACACTAATAAATATTTTTGAAGATGAATGTGAATCATTATCACATTCTGGAACAAAACACTTTTTCGTAGTCATAATATTTATAAAAAGTACAAAATTAAACACTCAAATTCCAAATAAATTCTTGATCGAGACACTATGATGACAGATGCCATACACAGTGCTGCCATTTTGCCATTTTCTGAATTATTAAGTAACTTTTAAAACAATGAAACTTTAAATATGGTAAAAGTTTAAACAGAAATAATACTTTCGAAAAACATTTGATATTATATATTTAAAAGATATTTGTTTAACGATGTTTATGAATAGATAAAAAAAAATAAAAAAAATGTAGTTTTGTTTTTAACTCTACTATTCATAAAAAAAATTTCAAAATTTTTGAACATGCCCCATTGATGATATAAAATTATTATTATTATTATTATTATACCCAATGTTTTAAAAGGCTACATCTACTAGTGGACCACGTTTTTAAGTCCCCAAATAATAATTTCAAGAATTTGATTCGGATTAGAAGTTTTACTATACAGGGTATTGTGCCAAAGCTAACTGATGTATTGATATTGTAAAACGCAGATGAGTAACTATTATTACATCAATAGAAATTGAAAATTCACATATGAATCTTTAAAACGTAATTATTTGTAATAACTGCATACGGTCAAAAATTTTAGCAAACTTATTTAATTTTAAATATAAATTGATTTTCATTTTAACTTAGAAATTTTCGAAAAGTTCACTATATTTTTTAGTTGTTGCAACTTTATTGCGCTTAAGTAGCGTTCAGATTAAAATATGAATTGATTTAAGGAGCTTAACTGAAAAACGGGAACTAATGCTTCCATTCCAAAAAAAAGTATTATGGTCACTAAAAGGAATTTCGAACTGATATCTTCAAGTTCTTATTTAAAACCTTTATAAATATTAATATTATTATTAAGCAAGAGTTATCTTTACAAATTGATACAAATATCAAACATGAGTTTATTGACATAAACATTATTTTCATAATTCAAATAAATATATCTCTGTTAAGGAATGGTCATAATTTATTTAATATTCATTTAAACATGTTTTTGTTTTTTGTCTAGATGATATTGAATACTAACTTTTTCTATATAACTTCTTATACCCGACACTGTGATATAAAAAACAGACAATTAATTAAGAGCGTACTTACAATTTTTCGGCTATAGGAGTTTCAATGTTATACTGGTTTCCCAAATTATGAAAATACTAAAAAAATTTAAAAAGCCAATTAAAGAATGTGTTAATATCTACAGAAGAACTTGCTTGACAACATCGTGTTTCTTTTTTGGAAACAGAGAACAGTCGAAAATTATGAAAATAACAACACATTTTATTTCAAAAAAATAATAGGTCAGTTCTTTTTTAAGTAAATCGTTTTTAAGACAATAAATCAGAAGAAAAGTCACCGAAAACCGATTTCAAAAAGGTCTATTAGTTTTTTTTAGGAAATGGAAAGAGAAAAAACGTTTTTCAATTGAGTTACAATTCTTTACTAATTTCGCTGTTTCTCTTCGACGATATCCGGTCTCCCTCTTGTTTAAAATCGATAACTATAAACGCATTAAGGTATTTTGTACCTGTTAAAAAATTCAAGAAAGATAAATCACATTTTTGTGATTATACAAAATTTTTATTTATTTTTCCAATATAATATGGATTGCCCTCTAAAATATACAGGGTGTATCTAAATAACACCGAAAAAATTAAAGGGGTGATTCTGTGATGAAAATTAATGTGAGTGTTTGGTATAAAATTTTTTGAAAAAACCCTCCCCGGAAAAGTTACACCCCTTCGAAAATTAAAAAAAATAATGGTTTTTCTTTTTTATTTTCCCTGTATATCAAGCTAAAGACACGAAACTTGGTAAACATTATCTGTCAATAAAAGTACACTTTTTGAAATTTTTTCAACCCTGAAGTATGCTTAGAAGGGGTTGAAATAATCAACCCCTAAGATATTTTTTCTTACAACTTTTTTTTAGATGAAAATTTTTTCTTTAAAAAAGTATGACTGAAAAGCCCAATTCATTGACTTACTTTTTAACTCTACAAGTTTTTTCTAAAACTTGAGCATTTCTTTTTTTGCTGGAAAGGGGGTACTTCAGGGGTGGTCCCATATAAATTTGGTTAAGATGTGGTGATGGCATGTGCACGATTTTGAAGTCGATTTTTTAAAATTACTTTTAATACTTGTTACGTAGATTAAAAAAGTTTAATAATTTGGTGCTTTCTTGATGCGTCGTTTTATGATTTCACTTTGTATATGTTTAGGTACAGATAATTATTATTATTACTGGCAGCTTATTTTAAATCATTAAAATAATATTTTGTTAATCCAAAAAAGGCAAACAAAAAAGCCATGTCACATACAGTGTAATAATAAAAATTAGATATATAAATATAGTATATTATGTACCAACGGACTAAACTTTCACTTTTATTTCCTCTTTTTTGTCATGTCTTTTTAAAAATTTTACCAGTGACGTCCGTACCGGGGTTGAACTGAATATTTTTGAAGAAAAATAAGGTACGCTACTGCTTTTTCTAAAAACTAAAATTATCTTCAAAATCCTTATTTATTTTGGAGCAAATTTGGTTTATAGATGTACTTTCGTACGATGCAACCTTTTCGCGTAAGAAAATAAACACAATTTTTTGTTGAAACTGCTTTTGATATTTTGTTGTATCGGCACACTATTAATAAATACCCTGTATTGATTGATATTACCTTATTCGAAACAATCGTCTATTTTTTCGTTACAACTCTATGCTTCTAAATGTAATTTAATCTAACTAAAGCTATTCACTAAATTAAAATATAAAAATAATGGAAATCCGTCTAATAAATCGAACTGCGTTATAACAATATCTCACAATGCAGCAAGAAAAACAAATACGATTCTGGTTTCCCTAATTTAGGTAACTCTGACTCACTCAATAACTGATGAACGTCGGCAGCCGTAGTAGGATTTTTCGGTTCAATTGTCTTAACTTCGCGCGTTGAGTTTAGAATATGTATCCCTTGTATCTACATGCAATTGTTAAAATTATGAATGAATGCGGATTTTGTTTAGTCTCGGAAGTAATTTTTGTAGTATTTAGGCTCCCCCCTCAAGTTGTAATTTTTATACCTACTAAACTAACGTTGCCCCGCAGGTCTTTCAGTTTTGTTATGTAAATTTTCCTCTTAAGAGTAAAAGTTGGGAATTCAAGTGACCATGGCCATTTTAATGGGTTTTTGGTACTTAAAGGTCTCTTACTATAAACAATCCTATAGATTCATTTTAAGAACGTTAAAAAGGGTGACCGACTGTGAAAGATAGCCGAAATGAGAAGTTTTACTGCATACATTTCATTTATTTCTGTTATTTAAATTTTATTTCAGAATTTAGAGCAATGGACTCTGCGAATGTCAATTTTAGACCTTCAACTAATGTTCGAACAATTCTCTCCAAATTCTCCAGATCTTTCGCAGTGGTTAGATACAGTCGCCAAGGCAGCAATTGATGTTTTCCAGCTCAACGCTCCCTATGATAACCCCGTTCCTGAAGAGAAGAAGAACGAGAAAAAACAGCAGGCATCAATTTGGTTAGTTGCCCCTCTTATATCGAAACTACCTTCTGCCGTCCAGGGTCGTGTTCTAAAAGTTGCGGGACAGGTTTTGGAAAACGGCGGTTGGTGCAAAGAACAAAAAAACAAGCCAAGAAGTTGCGGTGGAGAGGGACAAAGTTTGGCAACGCATCAGCCTTTCTTACAGTTGGTGTTAACGTGTTTAAGAGGCCAAGAAGAAGGATTAAGGGAAGGGTTGTTGAGTTCTTTACATCAGCAGTTGTCTCAAGTAAGTAACTTAATAATTTGCTAGGCATTTTTCACTATTTTCATAATTTATATATTTATAGCTTGTCCAACAGGCGAAAGAGGGTAACCTTCAAGACATTTGCGGCACAGAAAGAACTCTTGATGCTCTTCAATTGCGTTTTGCCTTAGTAGGAGGGGTCTATGAAGCCTTTCAGAGAAATCCTTCCGCTACCACCGATTGGGCTCTGTTATTAGTACAACTAATCACTCATGGACTTATAGATCTTCATACTCATAGCGATCTATTTACTGTAGTTGTAGACATGTTGGCAACGTTGGTGCATTCAGCTAAAGCAACTGACAGTCAGGTTTGTAATATTATTGTGCAAGAGTTTGTTTGAAATTTTATCATTGAAATCATTTATCGTTTCAGGACGATAGTAGAAAAATGTATCCAAACTTATTAAAGAAATTAAAAAAAGAAATTGGCGATAAACAAAATGCATCTTTACAACATGTCCGACAATTACTGCCATTGCTTAGAGTTCAAACTGAGGTGATAGCTGTTGAATCTGCTGGTTCTGGTAAAGGAAATAAAATGAATTTTGACAGTGTGGATAAAAAACATGACCTCCAGGTAAATAAAAATTATGTTTAAGTTAAACCTGTTATAAATCTGATACTTTTTTAAAAAATATTATACTTCCCGTAGGTAACTGATAAACAACGTGTTAGCAATTGGGATATTCTCGAAGGCATGAAAAATCCAGCACCCCTATCTTGGGCTTGGTTTGGTGCAGTAAGGTTGGAAAGGAAAGCCATAGCATGTGAAGACACCTTTAGGCTTCTTAAATTCCACACACATAACCTTCAGAAACCGGCTTCCCATTATTTGGATCCACCGCCCTTGCCTCCAGAGGATTTGGAACCAATTCCAGATAAACCAGTAATTTTTTTAATCTTATTTATTTAATATAGTTTAACTAAAACTATAGTATTTTTAGTAGTGAGACTTTTCATTAAAAGTAATTTTTGGACTAGTCCGACGGACATGTCCTGAAAATTATCATAGAATACACTCAGTTAAATCTCCGTCTTGGATGTTTTTTCAAAAACATTTGGGAACAATATTTGCATTTCCGTTTTTAAAATGTTTCCATCCTTTGGATTTTTTGGTATTTTTTGAAGTAGTTTATTTTAATAAAATATGAAACGAAAATTCTAAAACATCGTGAAAACAAAAGTCAGCAATCATTTTCATCATTTGTCGTTTCTTCTTTTTTTAAATTATATTTTGCCTTTGTTTTTATGAAATTATGGAGTGTAGAGAAAAGCAGGACAATCTCATAAGGTTGTTTAACTCAAAAAGTGCTCCCAAAATGTATAAAATTAAGATGGCGCTCGTGTATTAGAAGGGAAAGATCCAATGATATATGGTTATAAATAGCTCACGTATACAGAGATAGTTCTCCTTACCACTTTACACTTTATACAAGAAATTCAGACAAATTAGCTAATTTAATGTTTGCGCATGCGCAATACACTTTTCCACTTTTGAAAAGTGTGTTTGGACCTCAGATAAACAAATTAAATATAGATAAGTTAAGGGCACCGCTTAAGAGCAATCCAGTCCCTTCTGACGTCACACCGCACGAATATCACGACCTCTCCTTAAAGTATTTGGAACCTTGTTCGCTACATAAATTATCGCCGCCTACTGGGGGTTAGTGGCTTGTTAATATACGAATGTAGGAATACTATTTTTAAACCAAACAACTCAAATATTTTTTATTTATTGATAGTTATAGATGATATACAGGGTGTCCCGAAATTAGACGGTCATATTTTAACAGCGTAATCTACATCCTAAAATAGTAGTAAGAGTTCATATAAACATAGGTCCGAAAACGTTTCTTTTCCGAGATACAGGGTGTTAAAGGTGAAGTCCTGATACCACACTTTTGTAAATATTTTCTAAACGTTTAAAGATAATTAGGTAAAATTTGTTACAAATACTTACCTTTTTACGCTTCATTTATTGGACTAAATCCCAGTTATTGATCATCTTCTTAGGTGGGTAAATTAAGGGGAGCTTAGGGTAAAATTGCCGTGTGTATCTGTATGTCTATATCCACCATAACTCATGAACCGATACACAGAAAAACACTAAATTTTAAACTTAAGTTTTATTTCGGCCTGACGTGAAATAATTAGATTTTGGACAAAGTCGGAACATCTGGGGGGTACTTTATGGGAGGCCGTTTCTATATTTTATTGAATATATCTGTTATTTATATTTGGAGAAGAAAATTATTCAAATAAAAGTTACTTCCAATATTATTACCTATAATTTTTGCTTTATGTCAAAATTTCCTGAAATGGTCCGTATTCGAGAAATTTGACAAAATGTGCAAAATTCTAAACTAAACTAAAAGTTGTTTGCGATATCGATCTCTATAATTTTTGTTTATACATGATTTTTCTAAAATGGACCGTAATGGAAAAATTGTAGGAAAATTGCTAAATTTAAATTTTTCAGTATTTTCGTTTTCAATGAATAACTATAGAAATATTTCTAGGTAGATAGATGTATGTGGAAAATGTATATATTTAGTTTATCCTCTAAACATTTATAGATGTACTGCAATAAGTTGTACAAAATAACCAGAAAAAGCCTATAATAACTAGATAGGAAAGTCATGTATTGGACACATCAGATTTTTTGACTATAAAACTTGGAAAACCAATATTTTCTGTATAATAAAGCTACATTTGTTGCATCTCGCTAGGACGCGCCATTTTCAAGAGAAAAGCATGTTACCTTATTCGAAAGTGTAAACAATAATTAGTAGGTCTGTAGAATTAGAAATTTTATTTTTTTTTTAACTTTGAAAAACTGGTAACTAAAGAAATTTTAGAAAATATTTCATCTGGACTTCACTTGTAACACCCTGTATCTCGAAAATGAAACGTTTTCGGACCTATGTTTATATAAACTTTTACTCCTATTTTTAACCGACTTCATAAAAGGAGTTACTCGCAATATTTTATAATTTTTTTTATGTATGTTCAGCGATAATTCTTTAACACGGTGTCCGATTTCAATGATTCTTTTTTTGTTAGAAAGGGGTGGTTCCATATAAATTTTGTCAAAATCTAATAATTGGGCCTATGAGAAAATTCTCAAACTCTTAATTTTTTATGTGTGTTTAGCGATAATGCTTTACCATCTTGTCCGATTTATAGGATTCTTTTTTTGGTAGTAAGGGGGTACCTCAGGGGTGATCCTATATAAATTTGGTTAAGATGTGGTGACGGCATCTGCACGTTTTTGAATTCGTTTTTTTTTTAATTTCTAATGCTTGTAGGATGTAGATTACACTGTTAAAATGTGATCGTCTAATTTCGGGACACCCTGTATATTGGAAATTCGAAATAATAGTTATGACGTAGCGGTGTTTTTCTAATTGTAATCGGACCCTAGGTATATGGATACGGAAAGTGATGAATTGGAGATAGGTAAATTGTATTTATTGTATTAAAGGAACAACAAATATAAGTACAATTAAATATAAATATAACAATTTTTTAAAGTCTGTATTAAAAAAAAAATTTTTCACATAGATTATTAAATTAAAAAAATAACTATTAAAACACGAAATGTTAATTTTTTCTCTTTTACAACACAAAATATACAATACTGTTGAATCAAAATTTTCTCTTGGCAGCAGGTGGTTTTTGTGACGCGACAATTATGATGCTTTGCATCTCATGAATTAAAGCTAATTCTCTTTCAATCTCAAGGTGATCATACCCCTTATAATTTTCGGACAAGAATATCTCAAAATATTTAAATTTTGGCAAAATAAATTAGGCAATAATATCTATAATATGCATATATTTTAATGGTTTAATTCCTTCCAGTTTCCCAAAAAAACTAAAAGGGCTTTAATTTTGAAATATCATAATGAAAATAAATGCATTCCTCGACAGCACTATTCTTAATATAATCCCCAAATTTAAGCCCCTAATGTCTTGTTAATGATTTCTTAAAATTCGCCAAAATTAGTGGCTAAAACGCTTCGTTAAGTGCTATCTTCTGGTGTAAACTGGTGTAAATTATTGCAAGAAACGAATAATGACAGAGTGTACGATACGATAGTTACAAGCCCGTAACACTGTTTTCCACTCAATTTAAAAAAAAAAATAATAATAATAATAATAAATTAGGGTGTTAATTTTTTTTTTCTCTGAAGCTATTGGTTTTGGGAAAAAAATTCAAGAATAAAAAAAAATTAAATAAATCATGGATTTCATAAAAGTTCATCTTGAAAAAAGGTTTGATATGAAATAAAGTAAGTGTTGCTAATTTCACCCTCCTATAATGTAACAGAAATATTGAAAAAATACCCGTGGTTAGTCCTTTGCGATTACAGAATTTCAAGTTTCTAGCTTTACTGAAATTTTAGAAAAAAAATAAAAACTCAATTTTAGTCACCACTTTTTAAGGGTGATATCTCGAAAAGGGGTGGGCTACGGAAATGTTGTTATAGGAAAGGCCCATTTTAATTTCATACGAGCAATCAGTTCCTGAATTTTGTCGCATGTATTTAGAAACACCCTGTATATTACACATTTTTTTAAGCGTGCAAAATTCTTGACAATCTCTTTTCCCTAATTGGCACATGTCGTATTTTTCTAGGATTTACTAACTCTGGCAGCAAACAAATAAAATAGAAATTTGTCAGCTGTGCATTTTTGCCTTCCAGAATATTTCATTTCATAAATTAACTAAAAACTAAATTAAACAAAAACCTAACAACGCCTCAACAACAAACTAAGACGATCACAATAATTTCGCACCTCTTCAAAAACAACTACCTATTTTTCGACACAGGAATTAACAAATTTAACTAAACAGCAGCTACCCTTTTAACCACGGGCTTCAAAGACTAGCAGCGTTGCCATATTCACTGGTATCATTGTTTTAATAGAATTAGTATCGGAATTAAAACTATGTTAATCTTCGGTCCTGTTTAAAATTGGTAATCTTTTTGAAAAAAAGTTATTTAGAAAATAGTTAAGATATTTGTTATAAAATGCCGGTAAAGAGCCAAAAAATTAAATTTGTTAAAAAGTTGAAATTTTTGTTGTTTTTCTTTAAAAATATAAGTTTTTCGCGGTTTAGCGAGATTCTTGGTTCATTTTTACAACGATTGGCCTGAACCATTTTTTTTACAATTTTTTGCCTCAAATGTAAAATTGATTTTTGGTGGAGGAGCGCCCGTCATGTTTGCTCTTAACATAGGTTTTGTTTGAAGCCAGTATCTACGAACTTTTGACAGCTGTGATCTCCATGGCCGTATCAAATAGTTTTTTCACCTTAATCCTTAAATCCTTAAATATTTTGTCAATGACAAATTAAAAGAAAAAACATAAAATTCTATTTTACAAAAAATAAATTCTGCTATTTTTTATTCAAATGTAATAAACGATATTTATAAAACAAAATTAGGCTTCAAATGATTACACTATTAATATATGATTCTATGACTAAATTATTAACAATTTGTTTATTATGCGATAACAAAAATTAATAAAAATAGGCACTGGAAAAAAAAACTGGACGCCACTTGTTCCCAAAATACACCGTTCCCCTCTCATTTAAAAAAAAATCGTCAAAATCGCTCCATAAATAAAAAATTTATGAAGGTGGCTCGCTTTCAAATGGGTCACTCTGTATAAGACTCAATAAAGCTTCATCCAAAAATATATAAATATAAAAATCCAATATAAAATAAATAAAATACAAAATAAAAGTATCAAAAGTCGTAATTATAAATAAAAAAAAGGATAAAGTTGCTTATTGGTCTATTTTCAAAGAAATTGAATGCAATAGGAAATGTTTCCAGCTTTAAATTCGTCTTTCCCGGCAGAATTCATAAC